CCACCCCGCAGGGCACGGTGGCCCGTGTTGCCACGCCTGGAACGGCGGTGGCCGACGTTCCCCCCTCCTCGGCCACCTAAGCAGACCAGATGGGGTGCCGCGCCTGCGATGGCTATGTGACCGATTCGGGGCCACCTAAGCAGGCAGGGAGCCAGTGGAGGAGGGGTATGAGGAGGAGGAGGAAGAGGAGGAGGAGGACGAGGAGGAGGTTCGCCCTCCCTCCTCGGTTGCCCTCCCTCCTCGTCCTCCTTCTTCTGTCGATGCCTTTTTTTAAATTTTGCTTCACCCAGCCAGCGGGAATACCCGCCTGGTTTACTAGTTTAATCCCCCCACTTGGGCCGGCGGGCCCTGGGGGGAGATGGCAACGTCAGATGACATTTCTGCCGTCAGGGTCTCAGAGTCTCAGGGTTTCAAGAGGAGGAGGAGAAGGAGGAGGAGGAGAAGGAGGAAAAGGAGGACCAGAAGGAGGAGGAACGTTGGGAAGATAGAGAAAGTGAGTGGGCGGAGGGGGGAGCCAGAGGGGACCGGAGACGTAGTGGGGGACGTCTCCAGCAGTAGCCAGACTTCGGCAACCTGTCGCCCTCCATCGGTGTAACAAGCGGTGGTGTGGGAGCGGCTGGGGAATCCCGCAACGATGCTTGATGCGAAACGCCCAGACGGCCTTGCCAACGCGACACGTTCGGTGGTGCGTCTGTGAAAGGTTGCTCACAAGGGAAGATTGGTTGCGAAGGAAACAGGACAAGAGAGGACGGGGATGAGCAGGAGGAGGCGGCCCCACGGGCAAAGTGCTCCCCGCCACTTGCCTATGAATGGGTCCTCTGAGTTCGACTTGCCTGCTTGCCGCAAGATTTCATCGCATGGCTTGTGTACAATCCCGATGCAGCCTCCTATGACCGTGCTGCCGTGAGCCCTCTCAGCCATGGACGTGCCCGAAGAAGAGCACTCGGTGGTTCTGTTGTGCCTCCTTGGCTGCTGACAGCTCGGCTCTCGGAGGCGGCGCGCTGCCGAGAGCAATGGGGCTGCAGGGCGAGTGTGCCCAAGCGGTGTGCCGGTCTCCGTCCCACCGTGCAGGCTTTCTCACATAGAACACATACATGAATGATCGTCTTGTCGCGCGTGGCGAGTCCCTCTGGCGTGCTACACTTCTTGGCCACGAGCCTCTCGGTTGGGCCGTCCGTGGTGGCACAACAGGTGCCAAGAACGGTCGTGTTCTCTCGTATAGCATGGGCCACGCGATCCAGGCTTGGAGTAGGCAGTGTCAGGGCTCCAGGCGCAGAGGGAGCTGAAGCAGGTTCTTCCATTCGTCTGGCTGACACCTTCTGTCGGACGGGGCTACGACGAGGATAAATCCGTTCCAGGGCGTTCCGGGAGAGTCTCAGAGCGTCCCAGAATGCTCTGAATAAGCCGCGGCGCTCGAGACATCGTCCAGAGCCGCCGAACCTCAGAACTATCCGATATATCCTCACCCGATGTTATCCTCGTTTTGGCTTCGTCTTATTCTGGAGGAGGAAGCGAGAGGGGGGAACAGGAGGAGCAGCAGCTGGTGGAGCGTGCGAAAGTACTGTGCGCGGGGAGACCGGGTGTTCAGGAGATCAAGAGGCAGCGCAGGCTCCAGTTGCAGGACCCTGGATCTGCGCCGCCCCATCTGACGAAGCCCTTCCAGGGGGAAGGAGGAGTAAGAAGGGGCGACACGAGGAGGAGGAGGAGCAGGAGAAGGAGGAGGAGGAGGAGGAGGGGGAGGAGGAGCAGTGCAATCTTAATTTGGGGGACAGAGGAGTAAGAAGGAATGACATAATGAGTACATAAGAATGAGGAGGAGGACCAGCGTGACCCCAAGATGGATCAATGATGTTACCGTGCGTCCCTCCCCCCTGGAAGTCTCTACAAGCCTGCCTCTTCACGGCAGGCAGCGCACCCCCTTCACGACAGGGAGCGCACCCTCGAGGATGATGAGGAGGGGGAGGACCAGCGTAACCCCAAGATGGATCAGTGGTGTTGCCAGGGGAAAGGAGGAGTAAGAAGGGACGAGATGAGGATGATGCGGAGGGGGAGGACCAGTGTAACCCCAAAGCGGATCAATGGTGTTGCCAGGGATTGGGAGGAGTAAGAAGGAACGACATGAGGAGGAGGAGGAGGAGGAGGAGGAGGAGGAGGAGGAGGGGGAGCAGAGCAGAGCAGAGCAGATCCTCATGGAGTCCCTGTCAAGCAACCGACTACGAGCCCGAAAATGCTTGACTGTACTCTGAGAGGGTTCCTTCGACACCAGACGACTACCGATGCGAGCCCCTCTCAGGCTCACAGCACAGACTGCACTGGCCGATGGGCGCCCCGATAGGCACGCAGCCCTCAGAGGGTGCCCGTACATTAGGCGCGGCGACCACGTCCTTTCCCCGCCCACCAGAGCTCGCCCCCAGCCCCCCCCCCCCTCCCCTGGGTGCGGCCGCCTCGGCCACGATTCGGAGGCATATGAGTTGCAGGAATCTCAGGGGCTGATGCCGCTGCGAAACCTTCTGGAAGACTAGCTGGGGGCTTGCTAACTGCCCGAGCTATGCGTTCATGTGTTAAGCGACCTGCTGCTACAAGTGCTGCTAGCCCTTCACTACTTGCCATCATCGGGAGTCTGCTAGCTAATCTCTCACGTCTGCTAGCTAATCTCTCACGACTGGCATTCACACTGCTACTGCCGGCACGGGCTGGCGGGGGAGGCGCCTCAGCGACAGCATCATCACCAACAGTCTGGGGCGAACTCACGCCGTTGTGTCCTTCCGATCCAGAAACTTCGAGATCTCTCTCTCTAGCGGCACCCTCGGCGCCGCGCCTGAAAGGAAGGAGCCACCCTTCACCGCCACCAGTGTCTCGATCATCGGGCCGATCTCTGAACCCAGCGAGTGATGAAGGTCCATTTTGAGCAGGAATGTAGCTTTTTCTGTCTGACCCTCCACGTTGCGATGCACACGTACGCGAACGTACTGGACGGCGCGAGCAATATCTGGCAACTCCACCTGCGAAAGCCTCTCGTCCCAGAACCCGCGCATGTCCTTGAGCTTCTCCGCCCGCTCGCGTAGTGATGGATCCCCTTCCTCCGCCACCGCCTTGGTGGCGCCGTACTGCCACACTGCCATGAAGTTTTGAATGTGAGGTGCGGCGCGTGACTTGTGGTTCACCTCTCCAGCGTCGATGCGCTTCTTCATCTCTCTGCTCGACTTGCGTTGCGAATGTCTGTAAGCAGTGTATGCACACGTTGCATGGCGTAAGTACATGAGCTAGATTGCGCAGGTCATGGCAATGTCGTAGATGTTTGAGTAGCTTTTTACGGGTACTGAAGACACTCTGACAGGGCTCGCCATTGAGATCCATCGGGCACACAAAGGCCACTTCTGCGTGTTCTTCGGGATCCTCACGAGGTACTTCTGGGGGAGCATAGCCTGGAGGGGGATTACTCACCGAGAATTCTTCACTACGGAGGAGGAGGACCAGTGCAACCCCAAGACGGATCAGTGGTTTGCCATGCGCCCCTCCTTCCCGGGAGTCTCTACGAGCCTGCCTCTTCGCGACAGGGAGCGCAGCGTCGAAAGCCGGGTCCACCCCGTGGGGCTGCCGTCCAGGCGATGGCCCCCGCGTCTAAAAGGGCACTGCGCCGCATTCTTCTGGCGAGTGTCGCCGAATCCGATCGTATTAAGTCGGCTATTCGATGGGTCACGGGAGGCCGGCACATGCGAAATTCTTTGCATTTTTCGTAAGCCCACCAGCCCATCCGTAGACGATGTCAGCAGTCTTGAGGCCTCTTGGATGCATTTCAGAATCTCTTGGGATGCTTCCTCGGATCTTACCTGGAGGCCTCTTGGGGCGTCTTGGGGGCCCCTGACGGTCTTGTGAACCTCTTGGGACGTCCTGTATGCCGCTGGGAGCCTCTTGGGTGCCTCTTGGGGGCCCGCTCATGGGCTTCTTGGGGGCCTGTTGGGGGCCTCTTGGAGCTGTCTTGGGAGCCTCAGAAGCCCTCTTGGAGCCATCTTGGAAGAGCTCGAGCAAAGAAGGGGGGGTCCTTACTTAGCCTCCTCCTCTGAAGCCCCCGAAATCGCCTCTTGGGCCCCTTTTGGAGCGCTTCTGGGGCCATCTTAGGCCTCTCTTGGGCCTCTCTTGGGGCCCTCTCGGGCTCTCTTGCCATCTTGAGGTCTCGGAAGGCCATCGAAAGCAAACAGGTGAGAAGGCAAACTTCATTGATTTTCCATGGGTTTTGTAGGATGTTGGCATCTCGGGGGCCTCCGTGGAAGGCTCCGTGGCAACTTGGAACGGTCTTGGGGCTTCTTGGAGCGTTGTAGAAACCATCTTGATCCAGCTTGGGCTATCTTGAGCCATACTGGAGGTCATCTTGGGCTCTCTGAGGCGCTCTTTGAGCCATCGTGGGCCCAACAGGATCCTCTGACACCTCGCGGGGCGCCCACTTCAGGTCTAGGGGAGGCGGTAAGGGGAGGTGCCAACCCTTCCCCGAAGGGGAAGAGGGAGGGGTGGAAGAGGAAACGCGCTAGACCAGCTACGCCCAGAGGGCTGGTGAGATGATGTGTCCCCGGGCTGGGGACAGCTAGAACGACGCTCGTAACATAAGAGGGATTCGGGTGACGAGGAGCAGGAGCAGGAGGAGGAGCAGGAGGAAGATGAATGCCGTCACATGTGAGACCTTCCGCCCTCACTTTGTGTGGTGACCTCATGGAGCTCAATTGAGCCGCCTTGGGGAAATCTGTTTTTTTGCTGAGAGGACCTCTCATGGGGCCCACCGGGGGCGTCTTGGGGATATCTTGGCCTCATCCGGAACAGGCTTGGGGTCCCTTGGAGCTGATTCGTGGAGCTTTTGGGCCTCGGTTTTTTTGTTTGAGTTGGGATATCTTGGGCTGCTCTGACCCCCTCACTCCTTTGACCATCGTCGACGCCCCACAACGGCCTGAACACTACAGCTTACAACATACACTTACACCACAGCTTGCACCATCTAGCCTGCACCACACGGCATGCACCACATAGCTCACACATCATTGTTTGTACAACACAGTTGGCAGCATATGGATATTAGATTGCACCACGTAGCTTGCACCACGTAGCGTGCACCACATAGCTTTGCCACACAGCGTGCACCACATAGCTTACATCACGCAGCTTGCACCATACACGCTGCACCATGTAGCTTGCACGGTATGGCTTGTAACCCCAATGTTGCTCCGCAAAACATGCACCATGTAGCTACATCACACATACAGGGTGCAATCCGCGTCTGTTTTGGGCCCACGTTGGCAATCATACAAATTTCTTGCACCTCACGTGTTCACATATCCGTTCACCTTAACAGCATCTGTACATGTGACGACCTTGCATCTATACCCAGATGTTTACATTTAAGCACACGTAGTATTGATAATGTCGGCGAGTAGTAGCGAGGATAACATGTAGATGCATACGCCCGTTTACATTATTGTGTTGATGTGTTAGGCATGGGAGCGGTAGTACAGGAGCTTGGCAGGAAGAAAAACTCCGAACGCCACCATTTGAGCTTCCAGCATGCGCGTACCCGGGTGGGGGCTTTCATATGAATTGCAGGACGTGCCGTGTTGGTTTTGTCTTGCCATCACAGCTCCGTTCTACAGTCATGGTCGCAGGAGCAGGTCCAGGAGGGCAACGTGAGGCGCAGGGACACCGACGAGTCGGATGCTCCTCTGCATTTTGACGCAGAGGTTACCAAGCATTTGATCCGTCACGCCTAGAAGCGAGTCGCCGCCTGCCCCAGACGTCATGTTGCAACAGCCTGCGGACGCTTCACCAGCGGGTCGAGTCGACGCTAGGCTATTGGATGCCAGACAACTTGGCCGCAGACGTCCTTCACATTCTGATCCCGCCGATGTTTCAGAGATCTGACCTGCAGGGACAGGGCTCACATATCGCAGCTGGGGGCTGCCACACGGGCGGGCAGGGGGTGGGCCCTCGGGGGAGGGAGCAACGCAATTCAACGTGTTCCGTTTCGAGCGTCGTCCAGTATGGTGTCCCAGGATGCGTGTTGTTCTCCCGCTGTTCCGGGCGGGTTCCTCCCGCCTCTGCCGCGGCCGCTCGTCTGCTCTGCCCTCTGCCCGGTGCACCGTTCTACGAGTCTGCGGCCCCTGCCAGCCCGAACGCGGCGTGACCCTGTTGCTGCAAGCGGAGGGGGAGCCCAGCAGCAAAGGCCAGGGAGACGACGGGGCACGACGGCGAAGACGACGAACGGCAGACGAATGACGCGGCGAACGCGGTGTGACCCCCATCCCTGCGTAACTCACGTGCCTTCCCCCTCCAACGAACCAGTCGGCGGCGAGCGAGGGGGGAAAGTGAGAAGGAGAAGGCCCTTTCAGAAGGCTCGGGAGTCCCCTGGCCTTCCGAGAAGCCTCCTAAGCTTTCCTCGAAGACAAAAAAACACCTCTCAGAAGGCGCGAGGGCGTCTGAGAAGCCCCGCCGCCTTCTGAGAAGGCCTTCAAAAAGCACCTCTCAGAAGGCGCGAGGGCGTCTGAGAAGCCCCGCCGCCTTCTGAGAAGGCCTTCTCCTTCTCACTGCCCCCCCCCTTCGGTCGCCGACCCATGGGGGGACCTGAGGAACACCGAGCCCCTACAGGACCCACACTGCTCCTTCTCTCGACGTCTTGCAGCGCCGAGCCTGCAGCTCCACCAGCAGCAGCTCCTCCCCCCCCCCTCGCAGCCGCTGAGCCAGCTTCGGTGGCCACGTGCGAGCCCTGCCCCACCACCCCACGATTGCGAAGGCCTGACGGCCGGTGCCGCCGATCCTGAAGAGGACCACGACGTCGGCGACGAAGTGGGGGGAGACGGAGGCCGTGGAAGATGAGGAGGAGGAGGAGGCGAGGAGGAGGGGGAGGAGGAGGAGGAGGAGGAGGAGGAGGAGGAGGGAGGAGGAGGAGGAGGAGGAGGAGAAGGAGGAGGAGGAGGAGGAGGAGGAGGAGGGAGCCCTGCCCCACCACCCCACGATTTCTGAGGGGGGAGGCGGGGCTCCCTTCGCTCGGGAGGTCCCCCTGCTGCAGCCACGGAGGTCGCCGGGGGAGCCTCCGAGGAGGGCCGGCGCGAGCCGCGAGGGCCGTCGCCTTAAGTGCAAGGGGCTGCTTCGCTGCGCCGCAGGGCGGCGGTTGCGGCGTGGCGAGCGGCTCGCACGAAGGCGCTGGCCGGGCACGGTGGGGCAGGTTTCGCCGGGCTGGATGCAGCTCGATGGTCCTCAGGACTTATGATGTTCCAACTTACTTTAGCGTTGATCGCCCGAAGGAATTTCGAGCACCACAGACAAAAAAAAAGGAAACTCGAGGGTTTTCACGTGTCGGGCCCTGGGATACACTTGTTCGACTCTGTTTCGACACCGTTTCGACACTCTTTCGACACTTTTCCGGGTGCTCGCAATTATTTCTGGGATGTGGTCCTCAATTACGATGGGAGCAACATAATTCAGGACGTGTGTTAGCCCAATGTGTGTTTACCCCGTTGAACCCAACCAGTCGATCATCACATCGCCTTCGTCGTAGTGAAGGGCCTCAGTGGGCAAACACACGCTGGCGCTAACAAACGTTCTGGGGATCATCGAGCAGCCAACCGCATGGTAAGGACGAGCAACCTTCTCAAGGCCACCCTTGCATCCTTGTCCCTTCGGCCCATCCCTGGCCACTTTGGCTGGCCAGCCCCATTCGAAAAGTGTCGACGTGGCCGTCCAAGGCCCGTGACGTGGCCGTCCAAGGCCCGTGCATCCTTCTATCGTGCGTCCCTCGGGGAGCGCGTGATGGGGGGGCGATAAATTGTGGGGGGCAGCGAGGGCTACCGAAGAGGGGCCCTCGAGGGCTCCTGCAGGGGCGTGCCCCCAAGGGGGCCTTGAGGGCCCGAGAAGGGTACCTTGCTTCCCCCCCCCGTCTGAGGCCCAAGGGACGGGGGTCAATGCACACGGGGGTCAGTCAGAGCTCCGGATCTCGCAGGATCCTGCAGGAACCAGGGGCGCACTGACCCGGGCTTGGGTGCAGCATCCTGCGCCGGATCTTGCAGGATTCTGCAAAGCCTGACTGGCCCGGGTCTGGACCGAGCCGGGCCAGTAGATCCCAGATCTTACTCCACGCCGATATTTGTTCTTGCTCTTCCTGTGCTTGATTCGCGTGTCCGCGTCCCACCAAGAACCCTGACGCGACGTGTTCAACGCCGCCCTTCGGTCTTCACGGTGTCTGCTCACTGAGTGTTCGCGTTGGTCGGGTCCACACCTCAGTCGACCCCGCTTTCTTTCTCTGTCGATCAAGGAGGAGGAGGCGGAGGAGGAGGAGGAGGAGGAGGAGGAGGAGTGGGTACAGGGCTGCCGTGAGCTGATTCTCAACCCCCCCCTTTGCTATCCACCCTTTCGCCCGACCCGGTTATCCCACCCAATCTTGAGACCATCCCAAGCGGGGGGCACGATCGGGTCGGCGGACTTGTTCGGACTGCAAGGTTCACAGAGAGGTCCCAGAGCATCTCGTTCGCCTGACGGCACGGCCCCCGCCGCCGTCAGTTCCAGCAAGCCTCCGGCTGAGTTGGGTCACTGTTTTCCCGTACTTCTTTTACGTTGCATCTTCGGGGGACCTCGCCTGTCCCCAAGCTCGGGGGACTTCGCCGTGTGCCCGGCGCGGGCTCGATCCAGACTTGACGCATTTTTGGCTTGGATTCAACGCGGATTCGACACGGATTCGACACGGGTCCGACGAGGCCGACGTGGATTCGACACGGATTCGAATCGGACAGGGCCGCGACGGGACAGACAAGGTCCCCCAGGGATGCAACATAATATACCTTCTGCGATTATGTCTTCGTCCTTGTTTGTTGTATATCTGCCTGGTCTTCCGTCTCCTCCTCATCTTTCCCCCTTCCGTACCTCGTGATGCCTCCCCCAGACTTCAGTTCTCTTCTCGTCATCATCTCGCCTCTGCTGCGATTGCTGCTGCTCCCTCATGCCCAGAAGAGAGGCTCACGCCTCGCGCGCCTCCTTCCCTGTGCCGGAATTCCTGCATGACGTCCCGCAAGCACCGCCAAGGGAACGCACCGCGGGTGTGGTGCCTTCTGCGTCCGCCTTTGGAGTGGGCAGACCCTCGCGCATCTCCTGCCCGCCTTCTCACCCCACGGAGCATGCCTGTTCGAGGCCGCAGCGAGCACTTCCACCGTGCCCAAAGCTGGCGCCACCGGCCCGTGGTTCCATCACCTTGGAAGCCCCCCACCCGGTGTTTCGGTGGGTGCGGCCGCTTGCTGCGGCTGCGGCTGGAAGGAAGGTCCAACCCCTTGCCCAGCTTCCCCCTTGCCCGGGGCTCTAGTGGGCACGCGCGCATGCTTCGACGGCGGTCATATTGCCCGGCACTGGATTTGTTTCCCACCCGCCGCCAGAGTGTTGGAGTAGCAGTTGGTCGCATGGAAGAAGCAGGAAAGGCCTCCAAGTTGGGGAAACTGTCCTATTGGATGGGCGCATTGCTTGGCATTGTTTGGTATTTCGTGGCGTTGCTTGGCGTGGCCTGGCGTTGCTTGGAATTGATTGGCACTGCTCGGCTGATTGCTTGGCAGTGCTTGGCATTGCGTGGCTGCTTGTCTCGGAGTGCTTGGTATTGCTTGGCATGTCTTGGCTGCACTGCTAGGCGTTGCTTGGCAAGGCATGGCTCTGTGTGGCATTGGTTGGTTAACATGTCTTCTTGCTTGGCATTGCTTGGCAGTGCGGGGCATTGCATGGCATTGCTTCGTAGTGTTTGGCATGATTTTGAATTGCTTTGCATTGCTTGACATTCGTGGCGAGGCAGCAATTACCCCAGTGCGACCCTACCTAGAAGTTGGAGCCCCTAGGAAAGCAGCATTAGTTGCTATGCTATGCTATGCTGCGCTGTGCTATGCTGTGTTGTGCTGCGCTATGCTATGCTATGCTATGTTATGCTGCGCTATGCTATGCTATGCTGGGCTATGCTATGATATGCTGTGCTTCTCTATGATACGCCATGATGTGCTCTGCTATGCTAGAACTCAGTGAAGCTAAGGTGAAGGTCAGCTAAGCTAAGATACGCCTGCGCTAATATGAAGCTATATATGCTATGTTGCGCTATGCTGCGCTATGCTGTGCTATGCTTGACAATGTTATGCTATGCTATGGTATGGTAATGCAGCGCTGCGCTATGCTAAGTTAAGCTAAGCGAAGCTAAGCTAAGCTAACCCTCTAAGCAGATCCTAGGTAGGGAATTACACCCCATGCTATGCTATGCGATTCTGCGCAATGCTATGCGACGCTATGATTTGCTATGCTGTGCTCTGCTATGCTAAAGCTCAGCGAAGCTAAGATGACGGTAAGCTAAGCTAGTATAAACCTGAGCTAAGATGAAGCGAAACTAAGGTAAGATGACATAAGCTAAGCTAAGATTAGATAAGCAACGCGAAGCTAACATAACGTCACTGGGGGAACCGCGAGGCGGATGCCGGGGGAACCGCCCGGGGCTGGCCCACTGCCCGGCCCTTTTAAGCCTCCGAGTAAGAAACCTTCTAGGCAGAGCCTAGGTAGGGAATAATCAAAGTAACAACGGAAACAAGGATCCACGAAACCAAGTAATCAAGACCAAGAAGCCAACCAAGGAACAACGACCCCATGCCAAGAATCCTTTGGAAGACAGCAGGTGACCGAGACCACAGAACTAAGAGAGTTTGACACACATCGACCGCTGCAAGTGCGGTGGGCACTGAGGGCGAGAAAACGCAGAATCAGTAGTACAGGGGCTCCAGGAGCCACACCTGGGTGGGGTGCGTTGGGCAAGCTTGCGAATCCCACCCCTATTGGGGAGGGACGCCAACAATACACCACCATCAGCCCTGGCCAGGTCCATCCTGGGCCCTGGACTGGTGTACAGACCTCCAGGCCTGGGCCAGGAAAGCCCGTACACCAGTCCAGGGCCCACGATGGGCCTGTCCAGGGCTGGTGGTGGTGTATGGTTTGGAGCTCTCCTACTATTGCCGGTTTCGGCACGGCGAGGCTCGGAGGGAGCACCCGTCGCGCAGGGGCTTGCCTACCTCGAGCTCAGCTCCCGGTCCGCTGGGGCACAGTGCTTGCGTCGGGGCTCGTGCACGAAAAGGCTGCGTGATTCTGGGCGAGGTGCATTTATCGGCGGCGAGCGAGGGAGGGAACTGAGAAGGAGAAGGCTTTCTCGGAAGGCTGCGGGACTTCTCGTAAGCCCGCGGGACTTCTCAGAAGCCCTCGAGCCTTATGAGAAGTTCCGTTTGTCTTCAGGGAAGGCTTGTAATACGTCTCAGAAGGCCGGGGGGCCTTCCGAGCCTTCTGAGAAGGCCGGCCCCCTCTCATTTCCCCCCCCTCGCTCGCCGCCGAATGTATTACCAAGACGGGCACGGCGGGCCCCGCAAGCTGCGCGCACGCAGCCGTCCACGAATTTCCTATCCCTGTCAAAAGGAATGAGCAGTGTAATCATCATCGTGCCATCGGCTTTCCGTTGCCTGCTCGTTCTCATCGTCTTCACTTCAAATGCAGCTCCCCGTTGCGAACGCTCATGCAAGGGCTGGGCATACCAACACATTGAAGAAATGCCGTCTCGGCCGTATCGCTGAAGCGTGCAAACCTGTCACCCGCCCAGGGTTCTGGGCTCCAGCAAGATATTTCTGCGCTTGGTGTTTTTCTCACTTCTGCCCTGGTCAGAGGAATGGAGAGTAGGTGGCGATGGATGAGGATGAGGAAGGAGAGGGCCTCAGGGGGGAGAGCGGTCAGGCGGAGGAACAGGAAGAGGAGAGACAGCAGTGGAGGGAGGAGGAGAGGGGACAGGAGATGCGCAGGTAGAGAACGTGATGAAGGGGAGGAGACAGAGCAGGCGCGAGCAGGGCGCAAGGGCACGCTGAGGTTCGTGACTCCGTGCCGGCGGGCTGTAGCTGCAGTCTGGCACGCCTGGGGACCCGTGCCCGACGCGGGGTCGTCCGTATTTCAACGATTTCTCGCTGGATTTCTGCCTGGAGGGCGGCCACACTGTGGAGCTTCGGGAGGGGTCGTCCTCGTCCTCGTCCTCGTCGTCATCCTCGGAGCTGTCTTCGTGCCCCTCTCTTGGGCCTCCTGGAGGGCCCTCGTCGCCACGGCTGGCTTCTCCTCGAAGTCCTTTCCAGAATGTGGTTCGGGAGAGGGTTCGGGATTGCTTTCGAGGAGAGAGGCGGAAATGGTGGAGACGATGGTCAGCAGGAGGATTTAGGAGGCAGAAAATGAGGATGAGGAGGATGAGGAGGAGCTGGAGATGGGAGAGGAGGCGTGAGAATGTGTGAGAAGCGGGGGAGTTGGATGAGTTGGGCGAGGTTGAAAACGAGGAGGAACAGCAGCGGCAGCATCAGGACGAGGGGGGCATGAGTCAAATCCGGCCGCCTACGGCACCTCGCCACCGCGCCTGGCTCGTGGATGAGAATCGAGAATCCCGTTGGGGTGTGTTGTGGGCCTCTCGGGGACCTCTTGCAGCCTGCTGTGTGCCCCCACATGTCTGTTGGTGCTTCCGGCCGCCCAGGGCCCCGGATGGGCTTCTCCGGGCCCGCAGAAACGGCGCAGGTTGACATGCCGGTTCCCGGAGAGGCCACGGGCCCAGGACCCCTATTCCCCGGGGCAGCTTACCACGCGCCGCGCGAGACGAGGGCATCCAGGGAGAGGCCTCGGCGGCGTGACGGAGAGGTTCCAGCGCAGACCCTCGGAGGTGAACAGCTGCATCCGCTCGATCTGCACTTGCACCCGCAGGTCTAGGGCCTCCTCCCCCGTCTGTCTGCCTTTTTAAAAACTCAACAGGAGAGAACGGAGCGAGGCAGGGGACCAACCTCTTCCCTCTGGCTGCCAACGAGAAAGGGAGAACGAAGTGAGGCAGGGGACCAACCTCTTCCCTCCCCACCCTCGCCCGCCTCGGAAGGAGCGCATGCTCACCGCGTACTTCGAGGGCGAGGAGGTGGCCGTCACGTGCGAGAAGTGCGGCGCGGCCGGCGCGGTGCTCCGGAAGCTCCTGACCAGGTCCGACAGGGGGGGCTCGGCACTCCTGTACCCACTGGCTCTTGACAGCCACGCGCAGAGGGGGGGCGGGGGCGGGGGGAGGGCTTCGTAGGAGCACCCCTGCTTCCTAGAAGGCGCGGGCCGTATCTGTAGGTGTGAGGCCGGCGCCATCTCAGAAGTGGCCTCCTTCTAAGAAGCCCTCACCCCTCCCCCCACCCCCTTGTGCGCACCGCCAAGGATGAGGCCTTGGAGCCCGCGGTGGGCCTCGGGCCGGACGAAAGGGGGGGATTGGGAAAGGGGGGGTTACGAAATTTGCTGCATGTAGCTACATTCTTCGATACATAGCCGCCTACGGCGCCGGGAGGCGCCGGGAAAATCAGCTACGTGAGCTGATTCTCAAACCCCCCCTTTGCTATCCCCCCCTTTCGCCCGACCCGAGGGCCTCAGGTGGCTCAGTACACGGTTCCAGCGAGCAGGAGGGGGCGCGGGGGTAAGGGGTCCGAGGCCCTGCGGGTCGAGGAGGCTTCTCGCCCTTGTCGGCCTCCCGGGGTCCGTCGTCGGGCCCTGGGGCCGTGGCACACTACCCTTGCGCGCGCCGCCGATCTTGACAGGAGCTATCCCTGGGCCCCGAAGGATTGCAAAAAAACCCTTCGTTCGAAGGATTGCGTCAATCCTTCGGTTTTTTTTGCAATCCTTCGTTTTTTTTCAATCCTTCGGGATTTTTTGCAATCCTTCGATGCCCACCCGCCGTGGGCGCTTTCCTGCCCCCCCCCCGCGCCCGCCTGTTCTCTCCGGAGGCGGGCGGTTCTCTGGGTGGCTTCCGGCGCCCTCCTCCTCACGCTCCTGCCCGCCTCGGCCGGCCGCAGCGCACTCAGGGGGTCACTGCTCGACCATCGCCGTCGCCGTCGCCTCGATGCCATGCGAAGTCGTACCCCCCACCAGCTTTCCCTCGTCCGCCAGGGTCGCCGGCGGCGGTGTCATCACAACAGCGGGCGGGCGTGGTCTTTCGCGCTCTGGAGGGCCCAGGTCGGCCTCTCTGTGTCGGCCTCGTCCTCCTTGTCTTCGCTCTCGCCGTGTTTTCCCGCCCAGCCCTCGGCCTGTCCAGAGACGTATATAATGATCGTGGTCATGATCATGTTCATGGTCAGGATGATGATCGTGTTGGTTCCGGCGGCTATGCCGGTGGTGGCGATGACGACGATGACGATAACGATGACGGTGACGATGGTCATGATTGATGACAATGATGCTTGTGATGATGGCGATGATAGGTATGAGTGCAAGGATGGTGATTGTGATGACCACGGCGACTGCGAGGATGAGGATGGTGATGATGATGGAGGCATAGATTTCATCACATACAATTTACCACGTAGTTCAATTCACGTAGCTTGTACGGTGTAGCTTGAACAATATGCTTAACATCACGCAGCTTGCATCCCCTTGTATTCCATTCCAAGTCGCACCGAAGTTATTGCACTGCGTAGCTTGCACCCCATGGCTTACACCGTAGAGCTTCAGCCCTTAACTCAAACCGCATAGCTTACACGACATGGCGGTTCCTCATGGCTTAATACGCAATGGTTTCATTTCCGCAGTACTTTGCCGGCCTGCTTTGGGTCCAGGCTTGCGAACTACACATATACACATAAGTACATAGCATCCTGCGTTTCCCCTCCACGTTGTTTGTCACCCTCTCTTCATGTTTCCCCATGTCGGTCTGTCTTCCTCCCATGCTCCCTATCCTGTCTGATCTCCACCTTTTTCCCCCTCATCTGCGGGCTCTTTCCCTGTCTGTTTGTATACCTCTCCCTCTCTCTCTCTCTGGCCTGTCTTTCCCTCTCTCTCCCTCTATCGGCATGCCCTTGCTGTAGCACTATTCTTTCCAATTTCCAAGGCCACCACGCGTGCTGGCACTGCATCTCAAGCGCTTCCGCTACTCCACTTTCACAGGCAAGCTTTTGATACGAACGCTTCTGCGCAGACTTGGCAATGTCGTAATAACAGCGTGCACCAAGCACATAGTTTGAGCGACGGCTGCGGGCAATCGGGTGGACAATCCAAGCAATCTTCGTCAGGCAGTTGTACCACCCAGCGTTGGTTGGCATATGAAATCGCAGATTGTCCCACTATTGCTAGCAGTGTTATTGAGCATCATGGTGTGCAGGAGGAGTTCGCGAGAGGAACGCCGACTGACGTATGACGAGGAGGCGGAGAAGGAGGAAGAGCAGGAAGACATGTCAAATGAAGGACGTTGGGAACATGATGAACACGAGGAAGAGTATCATTGTCTGTGCGATAAGGAGAGGACGATGAGGGGGCTTTCGAGGACGGAAAGCACACATACAGACGGAGCCAAATGGTAATGAAACAAGTTGCATTTAGCCCATCTTGCCACCTTGCTTGAGTCTTGGACATGAGGCCCATTGGATTTCTATTGGGACCTATCGGAGGCCTCGTGGGAGTTTCTCGGTCTGTTGGGAGAATGGTTCCGGCAGGCCCTTTGAGTTGCCTCCCTTGGTCCCTTCTTGGGGTTTTCATGCGCCTGTTGGGCCCCTGTGGGGGGGTTGGGGGTCCTCACGGGCGAGTCTTCGTGGCTTTTTGTTCCGTCCCATGGATTTGTAAAGACCAAATAATTGTTTTGGGTTGGACGGCGGGTGGGACGTAGGGTCTGCCGGCCTCATTCTTCGATTGCTATTTTTACATCGCGTGTGGCACTGTGCTTCCGTCATGTTAACATATTGGGCCAGACTCCAATGCAGGCCAAGAGGCCCCCCAAGAGAGCGGCAGGACGCTCACCTTTGGCCGTTCTGAGGACATGCGGTCAGTGTATCGACCACGCGCAGAATGGGGTAGGGGGAGGGGGGAAGACTTCTTAGAAGTATCCCTGCCCCTTCGAAGGCGACGGCCTTCTCTATTCATGTATGGTCGGCGCCTTCTAAGAAGCAGCCTCCTTCTAAGAAGCCTTCCCCCTTCCCCCTACCCCCTTGTGCGAGGCGCCCACGCAGCCGGGGCAGCAGGTGCCCAAGTCCTGTTTTTGTTTGTTTCAAACAAGTTGTTTCATCAACAAGAACGATAACAATACACTCTGGTAGTGACGACCTACAAGTTGTTCTGCCATCTCCAGGGGTTTTTACCATCCAGTATCAAGTTTTTGCAGTAACCAGTGTGCGTAAGGACACGCCGCTCAGTGCCTCGCAGCACCGTGGAGTTCTCGAAGTCGAAGCCATCTTGGGCTCAGTTGTTCTTCAAAGCGTTGCGGGCTTCTCTTGTCCCCCTTCATGTTTGCTCTTGTTGATTCGGTCAAGACACTGTGGGAAAAGGCAAACAAAGTCTCCTGATTTTTTTCATACCGTACAAGATCTTTCGGCCTCAGGGCCTTCTTGGGGCTATATCTGCTTCATTTGGTAGTCGTTTGCTGGCCTCTCGCGGTCGCCTGCTGGGCGTCGGCCCCTCCCGGCCGCCTCCTGTGCAGTCAAGTTGGCGCGGTCGCTCCTAACCCCACAGGGTCTTTTGAACCCCCCCCCAATAGTGCGCAAATATATGGTTGTCCCGCGGGCTTATTGACGGACTGGGACCCCAGCAATAATGGAAAATATTATTTTCGGTGTGGAACTCGGGCCCCACGGGGAGGGAGGGAACCCACGAGGACCGTGAGAAATTTCATCCTCGATTTATCCATCCTAAGGAGGACAACCTAGGAAAACCGAAAGACAACCGAAGGAAAACCGAAGGAAAACCTAAGGAACACTTAAGGACAACCTAAGGAAAACCTAAGGAACACCTAAGGAAAACCTAAGGAACACCTAAGGAAAACCTAAAGAAAACCTAAGGAAAACCTAAGGACAACCTAAAGAAAACCTCAGGAACACCTAAGGAAATCCTATGGTAAACCTAAGGACAACCTAAGGACAACCTAAGGAACACCCAAGGACAACCTAAGGAAAACCTAAGGAACACCTAAGGAACACCTAAGGAACACCTAAGGAAAAGCTAAGGAACACCTAAGGAAAACCTAAGGGCGACCTAAGGAAAACCTAAGGAAAACCTAAGGGAAACCTAAGGACAACCTAAGGAACACCTAAGGAACACCTAAGGAACACCAAAGGAAAACCTAAGGACAACCTAAGGAAAACCTAAGGAACACCTAAGGAGATCCTATGGTGAACCTAAGGAGCACATAAGGAAAACCTAAGGAAAACCTAAGGACATCCTATGGTAAACCTAAGGAAAACCTAAGGGAAACCTAAGGAAAACCAAAGGAACACCTAAGGACAACCTAAGGACAACCTAAGGAAAACCTAAGGACAACCTAAGGACAACCGAAGGAACACCTAAGGGAAGCCCAAGGAAAACCTAAGAAAAACCGCAGGAAAAACCTACGGATAACCCAAGGACAACCTAAGGACAACCTAAAGAAAACCAAAGAAAAAGCCTAAGGACAACCTAAGGAAAACCGAAGGACAACCCAAGGACAACCTAAGGACAACCAAAGGAAAACCTAAGGAACACCGAAGGAAAACCTGAGATGCTCCGCCCTCAGCAGCTCCTCCCTCGGTTTCTTTCCAAGAGAAAGAGCCACCCACCAATACCCAGCACGGCGAACAATATCGGGATTCGAATCCTGGCCGAGCGGGCAGGGAGGGACTGATTGGACTGATGGGTCGGATTGGACTGGTGGGGACTGATTCGGTTGATTGGCGTTAGTTGGACTGATTGGGAAGATGGGGACTGATTGGGGTGATGGGGACTGATGGGGACTGACTGGGTTGATGTGGACTGACTGAACATGAGCAGCGACCTGAGATGGAGCGATCTTGTACTACGCGCCTTTCACGAACAGGCTCCGAAAACCTCCCCCGTGTAGGGTAGCCCACGCGGGGTTGTTTTCCACGAGAAAGAACCACCCACCAATACCCAGCGCGGCGACCAATAACGGGAATCGAATCCTGGCCGAGCGGGCAGGGAGGGACTGATTGCACTGATGGGTTAGATTGGACTGATGGGGACTGATCGGGTTGATTGGCATTGATTGGGCTGATTGGAATGATGGGGACTGCTTGGGATGGTGGGGACTGATGGGGGCTGACTGGATTGATTTGGACTGACTGACACTGAACAGCGATTCGAGACGGAACGATCTTGTACTACGTGCCTTGCACGAACAGGCTCCGAAAACCTCCTCCGTGTAGGGTAGCCCACGCGGGGTTGTTTTCCAAGAGAAAGAACCCACCAATACCCAGCACGGCGAACAATATCGGGAACCGAATCCTGGCCGAGCGGGCAGGGGGGGACTGATTGGACTGACGGGTCAGATTGGACTGATGGGGACTGATTCGGTTGATTGGCATTGATTGGACTGATTGGAATGATGGGGGCTGCTTGGGATGATGGGGACGGATGGGGACTGACTGGATTGATTTGGACTGACTGACAGTGAACAGCGATTCGAGACGGAACGATCTTGTACTACGTGCCTTGCACGAACAGGCTCCGAAAACCTCCCCCGTGTAGGGTAGCCCACGCGGGGTTGTTTTCCAAGAGAAAGAACCACCCACCAATACCCAGCATGGCGAACAATATCGGGAATCGAATCCTGGCCGAGCGGGCAGGGAGGGAATCATTGGACTGATGGTTCAGATTGGACTGATGGGGACTGATCGGGTTGATTGGCATTGATTGGACTGATTGGAATGATGGGGACTGCTTGGGATGATGGGGACGGATGGGGACTGACCGGATTGATTTGGACTGACTGACACTGAACAGCGATTCGAGACGGAGCGCGCTTGCACTACGTGCCTTGCACGAACAAGCTCCGAAAACCTCCTCCGTGTAGGGTAGCCCACGCGGGGTTGTTTTCCAAGAGAAAGAACCACCCACCAATACCCAGCACGGCGAACAATATCGGGAATCGAATCCTGGCCGAGCGGGCAGGGAGGGACTCATTGGACTGATGGTTCAGATTGGACTGATGGGGACTGATCGGGTTGATTGGCATTGATTGGACTGATTGGATTGATGGGGACTGCTTGGAATGATGGGGACGGATGGGGACTGACCGGATTGATTTGGACTGACTGACAGTGAACAGCGATTCGAGACGGAACGATCTTGTACTACGTGCTTTGCACGAACAGGCTCCGAAAACCTCCCCCGTGTAGGGTCGCCCACGCGGGGCTGTTTTCCACGAGAAAGAACCACCCACCAATACCCAGCACGGCGAACAATATCGGGATTCGAATCCTGGCCGAGCGGGCAGGGAGGGATTGATTGGACTGATGGGTCAGATTGGACTGATGGGGACTGATTCGGTTGATTGGCGCTAATGGGACTGATTGGGAAGATGGGGACTGATTGGGATGATGGGGACTGATGGGGACTGACTGGGTTCATGTGGACTGACTGAACATGAGCAGCGACCTGAGACGGAACGATCTTGTACTACGCGCCTTGTACGGACAGGCTCGGCAACCTCCCCCGTGTATGGTAGCCCACGCGAGGCTCTTTTCCAGGAGACGTAACCACCCACCAACAACCCGTGGCGAACAATAACGGGAATCCAATCCACTACTGCTCACTACGGCCACTATTAGTTCTACTACTACTACTACTACTACTACTACTACTACTACTATTATTATTACTACTACTACTAGTACTAGTACTAGTACTAGTACTACTACTACTATTACTACTACTACTACTACTACTACTACTACTACTACTACTACTACTACTACTACTACTACTACTACTACTACTACTACTACTACTACTACTACTACTACTACTACTACTACTACTACTACTACTACTACTACTACGACTACTACTACTACTACTACTACTACTAACGACTACTACTACTACCACTACTACTAACTACTACTACTACTACTACTACTACTACTACCTACTACTACTACTACTACTACTACTACTACTACTACTACTACTACTACTACTACTACTACTACTACTACTACTACTAGTAGTACCACTACTACTACTACTACTACTACTACTACTACTACTACTACTACTACTACTACTACCTATACTACTACTACTACTACTACTACTACTACTACTACTACTACTACTACTACTACTACTACTACTACTACTACTTACGACCACTACTACTACTACTACTACTACTACCACTACTACTACTACTACTACGACCTACTACTACTACTAACTACTACTACTACTACTACTACTACTACTACTACTACTACTACTACTACTACTACTACTACTACTACTACTACTACTACTACTACTACTACTACTACTACTACTACTACTACTACTACTACTACTACTACTACTACTACTACTACTACTACTACTACTACTACTACTACTACTACTACTACTACTACTACTACTACTACTACTACTACTACTACTACTACTACTACTACTACTACTACTACTACTACTACTACTACTACTACTACTACTACTACTACTACTTACACTACTACTACTAACACTACTACTACCACCACTACTACGACTACGATTACTACTACTCCTACTACTACTCTTTGCGAGAGTGTCCTCAGTTCTCGTAGCTTGCGGGAGGTCCTCAGGGGGGGGAGGGAGAGGGAACGAGGGGGGAGGGAGGGGGGACGACGGGGGGGCGCGGAGTTGTATTCCCCGGAGAGAGAACCAGGGGGGGGGGGCCCTTTTCTAAAGACCCTACTGGGTTACGGCGGAGCGCCTGATTCCCGGCGGAGCCGGGTGAAATCCCGTTCCCTCCGCTTCTTGATTGACCGACAGAACTAGGCTGGCTGAAATGGAGGGGCATTTCCGACAACACATTTCAAGCCAACCAGGCGCACCCGCAACAGCAACCACAGTCGACATATTTCAAACCGCCCGCGGGCGCAGCCGCAACCGCAAGCAAGCGACACTTTTCCTCCCGCCCGTGGGCGAAACCTCAACCGCAACCGCAAGCAAACGACACATTTCAACCCGCCCGAGGGTGCAACCACAACCGCAACCACAAGCAGGCGACACATTTCAACCAACCCGCGAGCGCAACCGCAACCGCAAGCAAGCGACATATTTCAACCCACCCCCGGGCGAAACCGCAATCGCAACCGCACCCAGGCGGCACATTTCAACCTGCCCCCGGGCGCAACCGCAACCGCAACCAGGCGACATATTTCAAACCGCCCGCTGGCGCCTCAGCAACCACAACCGCAACCAGGCGACTCATTTCAACCCGGCCTCGGGCGCAACCGCAACCGCAACCAGGCGACACCTTTCAACCTGCCCGCGGGCGCAACCGCAACCGCAACCAGGCGACACATTTCAAACCGCCCGCGGGCGCAACCGCAACCACAACCGCAACCTGGCGACTCATTTCAACCCGCCCGCGGGCGCAACCACAACCGCCGCTGCGACCGCAAGTAAGCGACACACTTCACAGCCGCAGCCGCAACTAAGCGGCACATTTCCATCCGCCCGCAGGCGCAACCGCAACCGCAACCAGGCGACAGATTTCAACCCGTCCGCGTGCGCTTCCGTAACAGCAACCAAGCGACACATTTCAAACCGCCCGCGGGCGTCTCCGCAACCGCAACCGTGCGACATATGACAACCCGCCCGCGGGCGCAACCTCAACCGCAACCGCATTCGCAACCAGGTGATACATTTCAACCCGCCCGCGGGCGCAAACCCCGGGAAGCAGGATGCGCAGGAGCACGAGGAGGAGCAGGAGGAGGAGGAGGAGGAAGAGGAGGAGGAGGGAGTGGCAGAGGAGGAAGAGAGGGAGTGGGAAGAGGAGGATAAGCAGGCCGGCCAGGAGGAGGAGGAGTTAGGACGACGACGACGATGACGAGGGCGACGCAGGGGTGGTCGAGTTTCTGGGGGTTGCAGGAGTAGGTACCGGTGGAGGAGGAAGGCCAATGGCACGATAGGGAGATGGAGGACCTGGAGGATGAGAAGGAGGAGGACGAGGAGGCCGATGAGGAGGAGGAGGAGGAGGAGGAGGAGGACGGGTTGCCCGCGGTTCTCCGCCAGGACATTGCAGCGGGGAGTCCCCATTCCACGATGTTACCTCTGTTTTTTGTTGTTCCCCTTCGGCATCCACGACAAGGCGTCTTGCTGCTGTGCATCTTGTGTGCGTAGCCTTTCTTGCACTGACAGGGCTGTCCAGAGGCCATCGGAGCAATGCAATGCGGAGTCTTTGATCTCGCCGTCGCTTGAGGAGCGCGAGAGATTACCCCGTGGAGCTCTCTCAGGACTCTCTTTGGCTGCTGATGGGGGAGTTGTTGGCCCGAGTGGAGGTCCTATTCGAGACTTGAGAGACCCATGGGAATCTGAATAAGGCGGTGATGGCAACAGCTATTGAAGGGAGTTTTGGAGGATTGGGCGCCGAGTCGCAGCCCTCTTGGGACTATCTCAGCGTCTCTCAGGGAGCCATTTTGAAGGCTATCTGAACCAAGTTGTTTGACATGTTGCACTCTTAGAGCCATCTCGCTGCCACCTTCAGCCGTCATGGACATTCCATCGATCGGTGATCACCACGTCCAGGGGAGAGTTACGCCCCAGACCCCCCTGAGTGGAAGCAGTGGTTGTCTGGAAGAGCTCGCACGCCAAGCCCCCTTTGCCCAGAGGGCTGGTGGATTTCCTGGCCCCAGACGTCCTGGTCTCGGGGGCTGCCAGAGATGACCCTGGCCGAAGGTGAAACCCGCTTTTCCAGGGTGGCTCACATTCGGATATGGCCAGCACCTTGGGTAATGGAGCGCCAGCTGGTGACCGGGCCCCGAAGCCCCCCCCAAAAAAATTGGAAGCTGCAAGCCAGGTCTGCCGTAGTTGGTGTTCCCTCTGGTTGCTACTGCCCCTGTTGGTGGAATTGGGCGGGGGGGCGTCCCTTGGTACACATCACTGGACCGACCCAGTCTCACTGATCCCAGTCCTGCCAACGCCCGACATACTCAGGAGGGGAAAAAGCACACACCCCTCATCACCTACACATTCCACCAGCCAGCGCGACCCTCCATCCCCCCCCCCCGCATCCACCCACCCACCAGCACCGACCAGCCAGTGCGCCCCTCCGCCCCGACCCCTTTATTTCGGCAGGGCACACCCCTCCGCCCCGACCCCCACCAGCACCCACCAGCCAGTGCGCCCCTCCGTCCCGACCCCTTTATTTCGGCACGGCACGCCCTTCCGCCCCGACCCCTTTATTTCGGGACGGCACACCCCCTCCGCCTCCCCCCACCCACCAGCCAGCGCGCCCCTCCGCCCCGATGCCTTTCTTTCGGCACGGCACACCCCTCCGCCCCGACCCCTTTTATGTCGGCACGGCACACCCCCTACGCCCCCCCCCCCACCCATCCCCAGTGCGTCCCTCCGCACCCCTTCATTTCGGCACGGCACACTTTCGGCACGGCACACCCCCTCAGCCTCCACCCGCCCACCAGCCAGCGCGCCCCTCTCTGCCCCGACCCCTTCATTCGGCACGGCACACCCCTCCGCCCCGACCCTTTTATTTCGGCACGGCACACCCCCCGCACACCCCCCTCCCCCCCCCCACCCCCACCCCCCCCACCCGCCCCACCCGCCAGCCAGTTCGCCCCTCCCGCCCCGACTCCTTTATTTCGGCACGCACACCCCTCCTCCCCGACCCTTTTATTTCGGCACGGCACACCCCCTCCGCCCCCCCCCACCCACCAGCCAGCGCGCCCCTCCGCCCCGACCCCTTCAGCGCCCCCCCGCCCCGAGGCCGCACGCCCCTCCGCCCCGACCCCTTTATTTCGGCACGCACGCCTCGCCCCGCCCGCCAGCCAGCGCGCCCCTCCGCCCCGACCCCTTTATTGCGGCACGGCACACCCCTCCGCCCCGACCCTTTATTTCGGCACGGCGCACCCCCTACGCCCCCTCCCCACCAACCAGCCAGTGCGCCCTCCGCCCCGGCCTTTTATTTCGGCCGGCACGCCCCTCCGCCCCGACCTTTTATTTCGGCACGGCACACCCCTCCGCCTCCCCCGCCCACCAGCCAGCGCGCGCCCTCCGCCCCGATGCTTTTTTTTCGGCACGGCACACCCCTCCGCCCCGACCCCTTTTATGTCGGCACGGCACACCCCCTACGCCCCCCCCCACCCACCCAACCCACCAGCCAGTGCGCCCCCCCGCACCGCCCTTTTTTTATTTCGGCACGGCACACCCTCCGCCCCGGCCCTTTTTATTGCGGCACGGCACACCCCCTCCGCCCCCCCCCACCCACCAGCCAGCGCGCCCCTCCGCCCCGACCGCTTTATTTCGGCACGGCACACAGAGGGCGATGTCTTGCCCCTTCTTCCCCCCTCCTCCTCCACATCCTCCTCCTCCTCCTCCTCCTCCACCTCCTCCTCTTCCTCCTCCTCCTTTTCCTCTTCCTCCTCCTCCTCCTCCTCCCCCTTCCTTTTTGTGCAAAAGCCATGGCACACGTGCCATTTGCTTGTGTGTCCCAGGGCCCCTTCACATACGTTGCCTAGAGCACCCCTCGACCGGCCCTAAGACCCCAGGGGTTCCCAAATGGCGCGGACACCCGGGGGCGCCTGGGGACGGCGGTGCGCACCAGGAGGTGGCTCGCGGGAGGCCGCCTTCTAAGTGGGCGGGAGGGTTGCTTTGAAGGCACGTGGCTTCCCAGAACAGAAGCCCTTCCGGCGTCTGAGGTGCCTTCTGAGAGGCCCCCCGGCCCATTAGAGAAGATCCCTGCCCTGTGAGAATTCCCGCCTGCCTTTATTAGAAGGGCGCTCCTCTCGCGCCACCCCCTTTGCGCGCCGCCAGTTGCGCCAGCACCATCTCTTGCAACCCCTCGCAGTAGTTATCCTGTTCGGCTCGGTGTTTGTTTCTTTGCATCCGCGTCTCCCCTGCATGGAAAGCGCAGGCGGTCGGGGAACGAAAGGCCACTCTTGCCTAGGGTCGCTCTTGCGTGTAGCCAGGCTCTTCGGCCTCATCCTGTCTCGAGCCGTTTCGAGTTCGAACGCGTCGGATCTCTTTCCAGCCCGCACGCAACGCAGCTATGGCAGCCTGTCGGGTCGCGACCGTGCTGCTCCTCGCACTGGCGGCCGAGGTCGCGCTCGCGGCGCGCAGCGCGCGCACGGAGAGCGTCCGCAAGATGGTGGCCATGCGGAGCCTGGAGGCCTCTGGTATCCTCGTCCTCGTGCTTGTCCTCTTCCTCCCTCTTCTCCTCCTCGTCGTCGTCCTCGCTCTTCGCCCTCCTCGTCGTCACCCTCGTCGTCCTTCCTGTCCTCTTCCTCGTGCTTGTCCCCCCCCTGCTCGTCGTCGTCGTCCTCGCTCTTGTCCCCCCCCTTCCTCGTGCGAGGCCTCTGGCCTGCCTGACCCCAAGTGCCACACGGGCGTGATCAGCCTCAAGGTGGAGGGCGAGGCCCAGGCTCCGAGGAGGGAGGCTACACACTGCTCATTTCTAACTCTTCGGGAGCTCTTTGATTTTTTGGGGGGCCAAGATCCTGTCATTTCTAGGTCTTCTATCCTGGGCCTCCTGGCCACTAGGGGGCCAGGAACAATTAGAAACGAGCGCAATTAGATATGAGCACGATTAGACATGATCGACGAGTACTGATACCGCTACCCTTCGCCTGCTTTCGCCCCGTTGGGCCTCCTGGGAGGCCCTCGTCGCCACGGCCAGATTCGCCTCGCAGTCCTGGTCAGAACGCACCCCAGGAGGGGTCCAGGGAGTAGCGGTATCGATACCTTTTGGGTTTCGCCGCAGGTGTGTTGCGCGGGTTACTGCGGGGAGTGCACGGACTACCCCACCTGCGGCTTCGTCCGGGGCCAGAATTCCACCAATGCGTGCTGCAAGACGAAGGTCTACGAGTCGAGGTGTGGCACGGCGCCCGCCAACGTCTGCCTCAAGAGCTGCAGCGAGTCGCTGCCGCCGTGCATCATGGACGAGCAGGAGGTCTTTAAGGCGCCCGACCCGAGCGTCCGCACGGCTGGCACCAATTGCACTGAGGCCGTGAAGAATTGGCAGCAGGCGGCGGCCGCGGCAATGGAGACCACGACCACGGCCCCAGCCATGTGATCGTGATGCCCCGGAGCGGCTTCCACGGGTCGGGCGTGTCCAGGAGGGGGGTGGTGTCCAGGTGGGGGGTGGGAAATCTCATGGCCGGGGCCATGATGTCTCCCCAGATTTCATGGCGCCTCTTCTTATTTCAATTCGGCCCCGGGGCCCCCCTTGGGCCGCGCGCGTGCTTCGGGTCATGATCTGCGACCCCCCCTGTTGGACGCCTCCCTCTTTGAATGCCGCCGCGCAGGCGATCGGATTCCAGGCGCCTCCTCGCCCTTCCTTTTGCGCAGCGTATCGGATCGGACGCCCGCAGGTCATAAGCGACCGTCGCGAAAAAGAGGGTGGCGTGGCAGAGGGGAGAGAGAGGGAGGGATTCACATTCATGCGTATACATATCCAGAGGGAGGGAGAGAAAGAGAGTAGAGAGAGAAGAGAGGGAAGGAGAGAGACGGCATAGCAATGGATGATGGTCCTGTCAGTCCTGCCCCTTTACTCGTGGCCTCGCGCGTGCAACATTTTTAAACCAGCACCGCGAATGTCGCGTCACGGTCACGGCGTCCCGCTCACCTTCCATTATCCTCTCAGTCCCCTCGTCCTTCCCAACAGTCGCTGTCGTTGTCGCTGATGGCCGTTGTCACATACAAGTTGTCGGCCAAGCGAAGTGGGAATTTCCTCGCCCAACTTTTTCTTGGGTTCACTCTGGTGATTTTCCCCCCCACCTCTGCCTCCGCCTTCAAAGCTTTTCAACACTGTGGATTCTAGTTCCTCGATCCTCGATTCTTCCTCCCTCTCTCCTTGCCCTGCCCTCCTCCCTCCCCTCTCCTCCTCCGCCGCCTCGCGCTCATCTCTGCTCCCGTGTCTACTATGGCCCTCCGCCTCCTTCTTCAAGCATCGGCCTTCGGAAGCAGGATTTCGGGGTGGATGCAGCCGTGGGGACAAGGACCCCCTATTGGATGCAAAACAGAGGCAAAAGTGCACAACGATTTGGATCCCCGTACCCCGATTCTTCCTCCCTCCCCTTCGCCCTTCTCGTTCTCTTCCACCTTGCCCTCATGCCCCATGTCCTCCTGCCGATAGGGGGCAGTCGTCGTCGTCGTCGTCGTCGTCGTCGCCTTCCGTCGTCGTTGTTGTCGTCTTCGTCGTCGTCGTCCGTCGTCGTCGTCGTCGCCCGTCGTAGCCGTCGCTGCTATCGCCGTCCTTCATCGCCGTCGTCGTCGCCGACGCCGCTGTCGTTGCCGCCGCCTCCTCCCCCTCCTCCACCTCCTCGCCCTCCTCCTCTGCTTCCTCCTCCGCCCTCCTGCTCGCCCTCCCCGTCGTCCTCCTTAATGTCGGCCTCCTCCGCATCCTCCTCCTCTCCAGGCGGCTACGAGAAGCAGTCGGCGAGCGTCGAGGTTCCGGCGGAGCTGGACTTGGCCGCACACACGCCGCAGCCGAAGCCCGGAGCCCGCCGCGCTCTCGGCGCACGGTCTGCGCGCGGGATCCCTGGTGGAGGAGGGGTCGGCAAGAGGGTGGGAGGACAGACTCAGAAGCGACAGAAGGACGTACACGTACGTCAGTCCATATTGGTTTCGAGAGTGCGCACTGCGCGAGCATTCGTATCACGCTGTTGGTCTCGCGGATTATGGGGCCGTGTTCATATACGTGGTTGGGCGCGTACGTCTTTTGAGTCCATGCGCGATGTCCGACCACCGAACCAAAACTTCCAGGTGGGTTTTGAAGGTCGCCGCGCCGATCGTTGCGTCCACAGTTCGGGGCGAGCGTTGTGTCAAGGGGTGGCATGTAGTCGTGTCGTTAATCATCAAGCCGCAATTTCGCGACAGGCGTATGTCAATTTCTGTCCAGCATGGACATACCTACCTTTTGTGCAAAGAGCCGACTATCACGCAACCAGGGAGGCGGGACGGGGCGCGAGACAGAAGGGTGGAGTGCAGACCCGAGTGACGGGCGCGGCGAGGTGGTCACGCTGCTCCCGGAATCGCAGAGCTCTGATCTCGAGGGATCCGTCCCTGCGCCGAGTGTGCTCCTACTTTGGTCCGCCGCAGCACGGCAGAGGCAATCCGCTCGGGCGTTCGCACCAGCCGGGGACGCTCGACGGACGAGTTGCCCGCATACACGAGCAGGGCCGCGGAGAGAGCGGAGGGGGGGGAGGGCACTCAGAGGTCACATAATTTCACGGCGATGGCGCCGGTGCGGCCAGCTGGGGCTGCGGTGCCAGGGCAGCGGACGCGGGGCGGCATCACGGCCACATCCAAGGGCCAAAAGAGGGCAACGCCAGACGCGCTTGCCACTCCTGCCGCGGAGACGCAGCAAGTGCGCCGGCGCCATTACCAGACTGTGAGCTCGAAACGGTCATCGACGTGGTGTCTCGGCTGTTGTTAGCTGGTAGGCGAAGGCTCCCAACCGCACAATCGTGGAGGAGTTGCGCGGCTCGAGGCAACAACATGCCGCGGAGGATGGGCAGAGGCGACAACGTGCCGCTGAGCTTGGGCTGGTGCCATCGTTTTCTCAGGAGTGCTGTCTTCATGTGACAGAGTTCGATCAAGCTACTGCACAGCCGATGGCTCATTGTGTTTTCTGGGCCTCTGCTTGGCCCCAGCTTCCGAGGGACTGTTTTTGGTGGCTGGGTTCAGAAACTTATTTGACCTCTTACAGCTTTCATGTACCGTCGTGATCCATGACCTTTCGAGCGCTCCCTCAGGGCGTCGTGACGGTGTGCGCGATGTCGTTACCCCCCCTTGCGTCGCCAGAGCATACCGCGGAGAGTTACAGCACCGCGTTTGACTAGAGGAGGACTGCATTCCAAGGAAAATTGAGCATGATCTCGACGCATGTGGTATTTCAGCGCACTGATGGATACTATGGTTGCCAAGCCCACCTCCGAAAGCAATTCTAAAAGGCGGCAATTGCCTGTACATCTGCGTCTTCATTTAGCCATCGAGCGCTAAAGCATTGTGACTGTTGCATAGCGCGCGGTAGACAGAGTCCCATCGCACTTCCCCACTGCGCCAGTGCATGCGCCACAGCCAAGGCTGAAATACAAGTCGATCGAGCCAAGCCAGACCGAGTCTTGGCCGATCTGCGTGCGCTGCATCAGGAGCAGTGCAGGTTGGTGGAAGGTGGGCCAGAGTACCATGCGGCTGCATCGCAAGCACGACATCGTCGTCTGGCCCGTCTCGCTCAGCGGACAGAACACAGGCACATCTGGCTTGGACGGCTCCCAGGGCAACGCACGTTTTCAGCCCAGCGCCAGTACATTTGTTCCAAAGACGTCGGCACATCACTGCGAATAGCGGAGAACTCCCAGCTGGACCCACAGGGGATTCGTGTCTTGGAGTGGTGTTGTTTCGGGAGATTGGGTTATTCATGATGTATTGTTGGAGGTGCGGGGCTTCTATGGTGCAGTCACCACAGCAGTAGTGCTCACTCTCCTTTGACATCGAGACCGTTCGAAACCCAGCGCTAGAGGCAATCTTCGCGAGAATGGCGCACTTGATGCTAAGACTCGACACAGTTCCGAGCTCTTGCCTCTGCGTTCCGAGCTGCCGCCGGTCCATGTTTTGCGTTAAGGTTGTTGTCGTTGTTTGTTTTTGTCCATGCGCCCTGCGGCTGCGGCGAAGCCTATGGGTGACAATGGTACCACAACTACTTGCGCCACTGCCACTACCGCGGTAACGCATTGCCACTGATTTGGCAATCAACTACCGCTGCCATTGCCAACACTATGAGTACGACCACGGACGCGACCGCCCAGTGGGGCTGAAGGGAGGAGTGGGAGCTAAGCGAATCTCATGTATGTTCTCCTCGCTGCAGATGTGGGTTGTTCATGTGCGAACGTCTGACCAATGGGTGTGCGAGCTCGGCCTGGCAGGTTGGCTCTCGCGCTGTCCCATTCACAGTTGGTCTGGTCCCCGCGTCTTGCTCTGGAGCTTCCAGTTGCAGTCGTGGGGCACAACATGCTCCCCCCCAGTGCTCTGCCGATCCCCCCTCCCGCTGCCCTTCCCCTCCTACTCCCCTTCCCTGCGCCCCCACCCGCCCGCAACCCGCCAATCGTCCTCACCCCGGCTCCCCAGCTCTTCTGCTCCTCGCCTGCAGCCTCTGCCTCCTCTCCCCTCCTCTTCCTCTTCCGACCCGCACCCCTGGAGCGCACATCCTTCCCCCCCCGCCTCTCCTCTTCTTCCTCCTCCTCCTCCTCCGTAGCAATTCTGGCTCAAGGCTCAAAATGCCAAGTTCCTCAGGGGAACAGGTGGATACCGCTACTCCGCGGCGGGCAAGACCCCTGTGGTCTGGCAGCGTTTCGCATCGCACCTGCGCTCGGGCCGGTGGGTTAGCGGAGGCCTTTCCCGTTCCTGCCTGCTCGAACGCCCTGAGTTCTTCATGGGCGGAGGCCGCAATGGTGGACTTCAAGCCGTCCGTGGTCCCAAGAGAAAGAGCAAGAGGGCACGACGCGGTCAGCTCGATGCTACTGCTCTGGATGCCGACGCAGATCCTGATGACGGGACGAACGCTGATTCTGACGATCCTGCTCCTCCTGCTATCGCTGCTCCCTCCGCGGCGACCCCAGCGGCGGCGGGCGAGGATGACGCGGGCATCAACAGCGAGGACGAGTGGACCAAGGACGATTACATCAAGCAGCTGGCAGGGGACTACGTCGCCAAGAAGATGGCCGAGCACAGGGACGAGCTCATCCGCGACCGAACCAATGTGGTCTCCGCGACGGTCTCCGACCAGATCCAGGATTTCGCTGCTCAGCTTACTAAGCACATTCAAGAGCTCCGTGATGCTCTCGCGCTCGCGAATGTCAAGCCCAAGCTCCCCCCCGCCAGCGCTGCAGGCTTTGACAGAGACGTCGACGCCACACGCATCGGCGTCATGGCTTCAAATCTGGTTGACTTGTCGGCAGTTCAACAACTCATGTCGGACTGCATCATCAGCTGCGGAGCCAAGCCTGAGTATTTCTCGATCACCTCCAGCGAGCAGGTTGCCAAACAGTTCACGATCCAATTATCAGGCGTTGCGGGCCCCGCGGCCCGACGTGTCTCTCAGGTTCTGGGCGCCCAGCGGCTTGCTCCTGGTCAGTGGAAACGCTTCGAGGTCATGGCCGTGGACAACCAGATGGCGACGCTTCATATCGGTGCGTGCACCAACCCCAGACAGATCAAGCTTGAGGTCCAATGCCGCAAACTCAGAGAGGCATTCAAGAACGTGGCCAGCGACAAGCGTTGGTTCTTTGATCGTGACAGGGGACACCTCATGGCTGGATGGGACGCTGTTCCTCGTCTCTCGCCTAACCCAGGGCTCATGCCCTCGGAGGTTGCATGGGCCGACAACATCGCGCAGAAGCTGGCGCTCCCTAGAGAGAGGCTGGCTGAGGCTGTCAAGAGCATCATCGCGCCACCCGAGGCTGCAGAGTGGTCTCTTTCAGGGTTTCGCTACAGCTATTCACGGACGCCTGGCACACCCTCCGTCGTTCTCCTTCTCATCATGGAATACCCGTGCCCTACCACAATATCATGGTCATGTTGCTCGACCGAAGCTCGCCCGCCCCAAGCGCCTGAACTTCACTTGCGGTATCGTGGCCCTCCAGGAGGTGCATCAGGACACGAAACAACTCATCGACTCTCTGGCTAAGGTGGCACCGAGTGTGCGAGTATACACCAGCTACTACGAGGGGTCTGCAGTAAGGGGTGGTGTAGCCACTATTCTTCCTGCTGGTTGCCGTGCTGAGGTTTCTCAGCGTTCCCTGTGTCATGGTAGAGTGCTACGAGTAGCGCTGCAACTGGATGGCTTCAGCACTTATCATTACAATGTACACAACCACGACCTGGCCTTTGCCCAGCTCAATGGGGCGTCGAAATCTTTGGCCTCTGATCTGAAGTTGGCTCATCAGGACCCTCTGCACCATGTGGTTGTTCTACGTGAAGACTTCAATTTTGGTCCGCGTGCCCCTGTTCTTCTTCGCCAGCCTCATCGCCGACTCGCTCAAGGCAAAGGCCAACGCGCTAGGGCTGCTCGCTGGACTGCCGCGCTCAAGTCCATGTTGGAGATCTCCTCAGACGAACCCACACACTACGATCGCCACTCACACTCTGTCTCCATCTTGGACAGGTTCTGGTGCAGCTGGCCTGGTTGGATCATGGCGCAGCTTACTGCGGAGCCAGTGGTGATCGATTGTCCTGAGCGCCTCGCTGGGCACAATGTCAGCGATCATGCTGCGCACGTCGTGAAGATCACGCAGCGTACTCTACGCCCAGCCTGCGCCCATCGCACCCCACGGCACCTGTTCGAGCACGAAGACTTCCAAACACAGCTCAAGATCGTTTGCGGCGAGCTCAACTATGCGGGCAAACGCCCCCCCCCCCCCCCCCCCCCCCCCCCCCCCCCGTCATATCGATCTTCGCAAAAGGGCAATCCGTGGAGTTGCTGCTGACCTTCGTGATCGACAATTTCATCAGGCCCCTGATGCTA